GTAGGTCGAAAATTGTTTTTGCTCAAATTTGTGAATACTACACACTAAAATCTGAGGAAATTTTTCTAACGCCAAAACTATTCCAAAAATTTTCGTAAGTTTTTCATAACCACTTTTCAAGAACCAAAAGTTAAGAATTGTCATTCAACTTTCCTTTCAAATCACCAAAGGTAAACCTTTGGAAATACATAGATTGATTGGAAGAATATTTCCCGCCATTTTTGATAAACAAAAGCAGACAACCATCCATGTTAGTCCCTCGATGATTAAAACCTCATTAAAGACTATCTATATTACTGACTGGCCTCGTCCATTGATCTTTTCCATCTTATATAGATATCAAATATTACTTGCTGTATTTACTTTGGATATGAACTTTCTTTGGAGATGGAGATCTCGCCTTTTTCTAATTCAGAAATCAAATAAAACTTGGCACGACAAGAATTAATAGTATATGAAATCAGAATTGGACTACAGACATCAAAAATGTCTTCCAACACGACTGTGTATCAACACAGACTAAATTGTCTTATTTGTTTGTCAAACTCTTCTAGACACCATCTTGTGAAAGATCATATTCAATGTTGTTATGATTTATCTTTCTAATGGTATCATTTAAGTATTAATCTCTTTTGAATACAAATATGACAGACAGATCTTAAGATAGGGTCATGATTTAACTTATGGAATTTAACAGAATATCTGACAGAAGTGAATTGGAAAAGCGATAAATGTTACTAAATTATGGCTGCCACTGAAACCAAACATTTATACAAATATCAGCCTACTATATAAAATATTGGATTTCTCCTTTTGTAATGTTAATAGCTGCAAATCTCCTAGATAATAATGACCATTTGGACGGACATTTTCTTAATTGTGGTTTTGCTTTTGAAATTTTAAGTTTTACTTTTGAAATAAAGTTTTACTTTTGAAATACCGTTATATTTGAATTATAAGTTTTAATGTTAGAGTGCATGTTTAATTTTGAAGTACATATTTCAGCTTAATTTCAGATTTAAATCATGCATTTGGCTGTTCAAGTTTGTGTTCTACTCTTGGACAATAGATTGCACTTAGAAGTACAAATTTCAGTTAAATTCCAGATTTGAGGCACATATTTCTTTCTCTAAGGCTCAAAAAACTCGGCCAAGAGAAAAATGAATCAGAGTCAACCGACTAACAGAATTTTCCAGTATATTTAATATTACGCGAAGGAATGCCAACTAAAAAAGACCCCGAGCTCAACTCTAGATATGATTCAGTGAAGGAATGTGAAGTGAAAAAAGCTCCCAGCTCCCATCTGGATATTGAGGTTAAACTATCGCCCATCAAAGGTTGTCTTCCCTCAAGCCTGTTCCCTGACCTTAAAATTGGGTAATAAAGACCAATGAAAATTAATGGTAATGATGATGAAATCATTTCAATGAAGATTAATGCATCATTAATTAGACAATTTCAACTTTTCCCAGCCTTTGAACTCTGATTGCTTGATGTGCGACTAAGAGCCATATTTTCTCTTTCAATTACTGGTGATTGATGGGTGTCAATAAAAATCATATTAGGACCACTAATGACTTGTTACGCCTCCAGTCTACTTGTTTGGAAAAAATATAATCTCAGACCAATTCTTAACATTTGCATAATAAAGTACATGTCCAATGAATATCCCATCATGAATCAAATATTGGCGGCATTTCTGTGACCTATTTTTTTTTCAGCAGAAGTTTAAAAAAAAATTGGATGTTGTTACGTTTTAATGGTGCTGCTGCATAAAGCATATGCAATGTGGATTTTTAATTACTTGATAAAAAGAAATTGTTTCATATACAAACACTAGATTTGTATTTCAGTGCCTTAAATGGGTGGATATCACAAATATCTACAATTAATTACATCAATGTTTATTCATAATTCACAATTCATTCATTAACCCCTTCCCCCACCACTCCCTTTTTGGAGCAACCAATGTCATACATAGCCTTCATAGATTAAAAATTGACGATGATTTCAGAAGAAGGAAATTACTTTAGAATCTAAAGCATTTATTTTTGAATTTGTCATTGTTAAAGACCATACAAAATATTTTTAATAATGAAATTGTTAATAATTAAAAATGCAATATTGCCCTGCCCTATAAAAGTACCTTAAGGTAGCATTAATGCAAATCATCTTCTATTATGACCTATTTCAGGTTTTTATTTATGTTTGGCATGACTAATAGAGCACTTAATGATCATTGAATGCTTGGATGCTTTTCTTAATCTCTTTCTAACTAAAAAACATAGAGCTACATGATAGATTTTAATCCCAAGCATTCATCATTTATTGTGAGAAATTAGAAATGAATTTGATATCTGTTATTCTCGTTTCTGCTGTCGTTATTTTTACTAAAGAGAATCATCATGTAACAAATGTGTTTGGTTATTTTCCCCGATGGAAGAAAACCATTAAACGAGATTTACACGTCTGATAGTTCCAAATGTATGATTCACAAAAGACGTATATTTGTAAAAAAGAAATCACTTTTTTTCATTATGATTAATTGATTGACAAGTGTTGGTCTTATTTTTTTATAATAATATGAAGGTTAGATCTGTTATCTTCTGACTATAATCATGAAGTTCACAACTATAAAATTGATGAGTAAGAAACTTAAGCAAATTTGAAGATGTACAATGACATGCAGTGTGCAATGAGGGAAATGTTGGTTTGAATTTTTAATATGAAGGTCAGATCTGTTATTTTCTGACCATAATCGTGAAGTTCACAATTATAAGATAGTGGATCACAACTATAAGATAGTGGACCACAACTATAAGATAGTGGATCACAACTATAAGATAGTGGATCACAACTATAAGATAGTGGATCACAGCCATATATGCCCACCACAGCATGCGGATGGTGAAAACGAAACATCCATTTTAAGTTTTATCAAAATCGGTTGGAAACTAAGAAAGTAATAGCATATTCAAGATTTTGAGGCAAGGGCAATAACTCTGCTTCTAACACTCGAAAATAGCTAAATTTCAAACTCGATCATCGTTTTATGAATATAGATACACATACCGAATTTCATTTGATTCCATCGAAAAATCTACAGGGGTGCCGGCAATATATGTCCACATAGAGAGATGTGGGTGTATAAAAATTGATGAGTAAGAAACTTATATGCAGTTTTGTGGTTTTGGAAACCTTAATTACTAATGTATAACATAACATTATTAGTTCTGAAATATTCAAAGAAGGAAAATGTGGATGGTGACTGATATGATGATTTTATCATTGCAAATGTAATTGAGTTTTGTTTCTTGTTACTTTTTTTTTTGCATTTGGTGTGTCTATGAGGTAAATGTTTTTAAACATTTTTGGTTTAAGGCCTGTTCCAAGTTCCTTGGTTTATTGTCAGCTTCCAAATGAAATTATTAATTCGTTAACTTTTGCTTACTTTGATTGCTGTAATCAAATCTAAATCATCAGTCATTGTTAAACCTACTATTCGTGAGTTGTTTTCGTGATCAGTTTACCAGGTGATTAGTTTTCAAACACAACTCACTATCAATTTTGACATACTACATACTGGGTTATGATTAGTAATCAGTCTATAGCACTCATAGTTTTCAAACACAACTCACTTTCAATTTGAGTATTGTGATCAGTTCACATGGCGATTACTGTTTTAAACATAACTCGCAACTATTATTGTCCCTTATTTTGTGGATGATTATTTAATTAGTGATCAGTCTATAAAAATTGACCACTCACTATCAATTAAGAGTTGATTAGTGATCAAACTTTGGCCATTGACAACATTTCAAATATCACTCACTATCAATTTAGTAATCAGTTTTACAAGTGATAGGTACTGATCAATGATCAAGCCTGGATCATTGATAACTTTTCAAATACAACTCACTATCAATTTAGTAATCAGTTTTACAAGTGAACACAATTTAAATACAATTCAGTTGATCAGTGATCAAGCCTGGGCCATTGATAACATTTTAAACACAACTCACTATCAATCTAGTGATCAGCTCTCCATGTGATTGGTACTGATCAGTAATCAAGCCTGGGCCATTGATAACATTTTAAACACAACTCACTATCAATCTAGTGATCAGCTCTCCATGTGATTGGTACTGATCAGTAATCAAGCCTGGGCCATTGATAACATTTTAAACACAACTCACTATCAATCTAGTGATCAGCTCTCCATGTGATAGGTACTGATCAGTAATCAATCCTGGGCCATTGATAACATTTTAAACACAACTCACTATCAATCTAGTGATCAGCTCTCCATGTGATAGGTACTGATCAGTAATCAATCCTGGGCCATTGATAACATTTTAAACACAACTCACTATCAATCTAGTGATCAGCTCTCCATGTGATAGATACTGATCAGTAATCAAGCCTAGGCCATTGATAACATTTTAAACACAACTCACTATCAATCTAGTGATCAGCTCTCCATGTGATAGATACTGATCAGTAATCAAGCCTAGGCCATTGATAACATTTTAAACACAACTCACTATCAATCTAGTGATCAGCTCTCCATGTGATAGATACTGATCAGTAATCAAGCCTAGGCCATTGATAACATTTTAAACACAACTCACTATCAATCTAGTTGAGAGTTTTACAAGTGAACAGAGTTTAATTGGAGTTGTTTTTGTGATCAGTGCTGAAACAAAACTTAAATTAAATTGATTACTAATCAACTTTTTAAACTCCACTCACTATCAATTTGGATACTGAGTTGTTTTAGAGATGAACACTTTTTAGATCTACAAAAACTGGCTTCATTTGTGAGACTGGGGACTTACACAGAACACAGCAGATTTGAAGCAATTTCATATCTTCTTTTAATAGTGAATAGTGGATTTTTACTACAGAAAGACTTTGGTTTTGGTTACTGGAAGCAATTTTGGTTAGAGTGGATATACTTTTTGACAACTGAAGCCAGATTTGACGAAATAAAATTGACGAATTTCTCGTGAAATATATATTCAAAATGGCTTGTGGAGCAACCCTTAAACGTACCAGTGAATTTGATTCTTTACACAGCCCAGGTCAAGGATCACCTAAAAGAAGAAGGTATGTCATGCCAATACAGTCCACAACATCACCGGCCAAGCAAGCCATTACAAAATCACTTTTTGCTGATGCTTTACCCAAACTGACAACAGAACAAATTGCTACAAGAATAACTCAGGAGCTGAAACGAATGCAGCACAGACGTCAAATTCATTATCACGACGCCAACGAAAGTTCATCATCTCCTCAACCATCTTTAGACCAATCAACTAATCTTAATTTTGATCCAACTCAAATCTCCAGTCCTACCAAGAAAGATGTCGCTATATTTACCTTTCGTCAAGTCAGCATGATCTGTGACAGAATGATCAAAGATAGAGAAGAACAGATACAAGTCCAATATGACAATATTTTAACCTCCAAGCTAGCTGAACAGTATGAATCTTTCCTGAAATTTAACCATGATCAGCTACAAAAGAGGTATGGTGATGCCCCAATGAGTTATGTGTCCTAATCAACGAAAAAATTGGAGAATTTGTGTACATATATAACTTAAAATAGTGAAAATTGAAAAAAGCCACTTAAAAGGATACTACCTCTTAGAATGGACAAAATTTGAAGTCTCGAACTTGGTCAACAAGTGTATATATTCATCAATTGGACTTAACAGATGCCATGACTAAAGAATAGAATCTCTATATAAGACGATATATCCATTAAACTAAATAATTATTGAAAAAAGCTTCTAAGCATGTTTCAAAATTACTTAGGGTAATGAATTATTACTTAGTTTTATGAATAAATTGTATTATATAGAGATTCTTTTGTCTAGTTATGACACCAGGTAAGTCCATTGATGAACAAAGACTCATTTTAACCAAGTTTCAAAATTTTTTGGTCATTCTAAGAGGTAATATACCTTTAAATCAAAATATGAAAAGTTAATGAAATATTCAAGATTACTTGAATTATGTATGAATGTATAAGATTTTTTATAATAAAGATGCTTTCAATGAAATAAATTATTTTATCAAAACGGTTCATGTTTTTAATGTTAAGAATACATTGATATTACGATGTAGCCATTTTCTTTATATTCTCTCTCATTCAGAAAAACCTGAAAAAGAGTCGCCTATCAAGAATACACAGGAAAATTGAGACGTTTTCTGGGCACTTTAGAAAATTAAGAGTTTGCAGCAAAATGATTTAAAGTACATCTTCACATGTTTTTCATCAACGATTTCAACAGGGATTTGCGGTAAAAAGCAATCTTGGAAATCTATTTGTAACTTATGTCCACAACTTCGTGTTCACCAACTGCCAAATTAATACCATCCTTTTCTCCTTCCCATATTTATCAAACTTTTCTACCAGAATTAAAATGGCGTCTGAGATAAGGAAGCAAACATTTAAAACAGATGTTTACCGAAAGTTTCAAATTGTCTCAAGATTGAAATGAACCCTGATAACAAATCTACTTCTTTAATTTGAATGCTTGAATAAAGTGATAAACTGAACTGATGATATTCATAGAAGCATCATTTCTGTGCTGGTATTTGTATAATCCATTTCTTTTTTTTAATCAATTTCAATATCTAGATCTTAAAAGTGTTTTAACATCTCAAAATTTATTTCATAATAATTTGAGAATTCAGAAAATTACAAAAATGTTTCAAAATTCAGATTATCAAAATGATATTTTAAAATTCAGATTATCAAAATAATATTTCAAAATCCAGATTATCAAAATAATATTTCAAAATCCAGATTATCAAAATGATATTTTAAAATCCAGATTATCAAAATGATATTTCAAAATTCAGATTATCAAAATAATATTTTAAAATCCAGATTATCCAAATGATATTTTAAAATCCAGATTATCAAAATGATATTTCAAAATTCAGATTATCAAAATAATATTTCAAAATCCAGATCATCAAAAATAAAATACTGAAATTCAGATCATGGCTTATATCCAAATTCAACTGATCAATAAAATATTTAAAATTCAGATGACAAATTCAAAAATTCAGATTATCATGGCATTAATCTCAACATCATAAAATTCACATCATATAAGTGATGAAAAGGAGTGAATAATACCAAAAACAAAAGTATTGCTTGTAAGAAATGTGATCATTATTTCTACAGCAGAAATTTAGCTCAATTGACTAATATTTTAGTACCAGAAATACGAGAGCAGAAATCAACATGTTAGTCAAGTTAACTCGATGACCAATAGTAGTTAGTATTACCAATCAGTGGAACTCAGTAAATTAGAGTACTATCAAAATATTGACATAGTATTTTGTTATCATTACTTTAACTTAATTAAATGCAACAAGAGAAATTACCTTGTTAAGATGATCTTAGAGAAATTTTATTAAGTCAATGTAATTACACTAAATAAATGGAGGAATGCAACTTTTTATTAGTACTGAAAATCTTCTTTGAGTAATTTTTGCCTATAAGAAAAATCATATCAATCCATGCTCAATGGTAAAAGTTTCGTTGTTCGTTGTTTTCTGGTATATGATTAAGTGCTGAGATTTTGATGCTGCAGCCAGATGGCTTTCTATTTTGTTTTAAGGTCTGCTATTGTTTAAAAGAACTTAAAAGGATTGTAAAGAGGTTTACTCAATTTGTTTTGTGTATCAGGGACACTGATAGCTTCAATTTGCACCATTCCAATTTTCAGTCAGACATCTGTAGTTTTAGCTATTCCTCAAAACTAAGTGTCTTATGATGTCACTGATCGCAAAATATGCTTTTATCACATAAGACCCTTTGCGATAAGTGACATCATACACTTAGTTTTAGTGGAATTGCAGGAATTGATGATATCAGAGTCTCTGATACACATATATTTTTTTTAGAAAACCTTTTTACAATCCCTTTAAAAGAACTGGAAAAATATGCATGATTTTAAAACTTAACAAAATGAATTCCTGACAAAAATTTCTTTCTTATAATTTTTTGTTCACTGTTGCATATCTGAAATAATATTATGTATGAATCAATAAGTACTCTTTTATGTAAATAAATAAACTAAGTACTAACGATCCGAACCGCAAAATTAAACCTGAAGTCCAAAACAGCATATTTGGTCGTATATTACTTATTGACAACCATACACTTTTGGTTAAAGTTAGCTGAAACAACAAGAAATGCTCTAAAAAATGGCATTTACTTCCAGACCTTTCTAAATGATAGCATTGCCATTGATCTGGCAAAAAAGTGACACCTTTGTGTTTGTTAATGTGCTAAAACATGTGTTTTGCTGTATAAATTTGTTAGTTTGAAAGTAAAGAATATTAACAAATGATTTACAAGCATGTAGGTGACAAACAATTACAATTATAGTATCATTTGATAAATTATATTACACATTTTATATCCAATTTCACCAATATTAACCCTTGGAATTCCAACCTAATATAGCACTAATCTGATTAAAAAGATCCGTTATTGGGAGTTCAGTGTTAAATTAACACGGGCAGGCCACATTTCCATCTATTATTTTCAATTCTTAATATGTTGTAATGAGAGATAATTGTTCTGTAATTTAATTTGGATCTCATCTTCTCATTTGTCTTTCTTAGGAATATTCCTCTTGTTCAGGAATTCCTAATTAGTTTACAACATTTTAATTCATTAACCCTTTAAACTGTGAAAATATTTTGATGAGATTCTTGCATGTTAACATGAAGGAAAAGTTTCCAAAACTCTTAAGCTAAGATTCCATATACGCGTCATGCGTCATCCGGTAAAAATCGAAATGGTTGGTTTAAGAGGGTATGATTCTATATATGCTGAAGCGGCATCCGTCAAATGGTCTCTGTCATGCGTCAAAAAAAAATCGCCGGGTGAGTTATTTTTGACGCATCCGGATGCCTTTCCACGTGGAGATCTCCCAAATGTGACGTATTTTGTGGGGATTCCCTGTCTTTTTTCCCGCCAAAGTTTGACAAGGAAGATGTGGAAATCAACATAAAGAAAGATAACGCATACGTTTAACGCACATATGGAATCATATTTGACGCATGACGGATCCGCAAGGGCCATTTATGTTTGCATGACGCGTATATGGAATCTTAGCTTTAATCAGAAAAAAGATAGCTATGCAAATCTGAAAAAGTTCTTTGCACTTTTTTTTAGTTTGATTTTGTGTCCACATGGAAGCAGGTCTGAAGGTTTTTTGCCTTCATTATCTTACTTCGATTTATACTTTGAGATTCAAAGAGTCTGTATAAAATCCTTTTAATGTAGCTACAGTGTACTTATGCATTGATAAGCTTATATTTTGAATGATTTTATACGAAGTGCAAATCACTTCAAGTTTGAAGAAAATAAAGAATGACATTTTATAAGATAAATGCAATCTTTTTAACATGCAACCTTCCACTTACTCATTTAGTTATCTTAAAGTTGTACAGTAATGCAATCCAAATTGGTATTTAGTCTACAAGTAACCAGGCTCTGTGACTTCTAAATGTGATATACGAAAGGCATCTCTCAAAATTACAGCAGATCTAATAGGCAATGAAAGTCATCTCTTAACTGTACAGCATTCTTGTTTTGGTGTAAAACTGTTGTTTTTTGTGCTGCAAAAGGCAATATAAGTCATCTCTCAACAGTCCATCAGAAGACTTGAGTATTGCTGTTGAAGCAGGTACTATGGACTGCAAAAAGCAATGAAAGTCATCTGTCAATATTACAGCAGATGTGTATTGTTTTAACTGCAAAAAGCAATAAAAGTCATCTGTCAACATTAAAGCAGATGTGTATTGTTTTAACAGCAAAAGGCAATGAAAGTCATCTTAACATTATAGAGACTTGATTGGTGTTACATTAGTTGTTGTGTACTAAAAAAAAGTCATATGCTAGTATTATAGCTAGCTTGTTTTGCTGTAAACAAATACTGCAAAGTCGCCTAAAAAAATAGTACTGTCTAACTCTTGAAGATGCAAAAGGCAATGAAAGTCATCTCAAAAATTTTGGTATGGACTGTGATTTTCATGATCTAAAAGGCAATTTGACATTACAGAAGACGTATTTTGCTGTAAAACTGTTGCTGCATACTTCAAAGGCAATGAAAGTTATCTAATTTGTTGGTATAGACAATGACTTTCATGTTTTAAAAGGCAATGGAAGTCATCTCCACATTACAGCAGACTTATTTTACTATAAAACTGTTGCCGAATACTTCAAAGGCAATGAAAGTCATCTAATTTGTTGGTATAGACAATGACTTTCATGTTTTAAAAGGCAATGGAAGTCATCTCCATATTTCATCAGACATGTATTGCTGTTAAAAATTCTTGCCATGTACTGCATAACGCAAGGAAAGTCAACTTGATAACAGAGTTGTAACACTATTAAAATTGTTACCATAGCTAATATTGTTTTCAAGATTCAAACAGAATAACAGATTAGAAATGATTCTTTTTTCGTTGTAATCAATCAAAGAGAATAGTAAATCAAGCAAAAGCAAGTAAATCAAGTAATCAGAGATCAGTTTAAATAAGTATTTATTACATGTCAAAAAGACATATTCCATGTTTCTGGTAATGAAAATGTAATTGAATCGCCGTGGTGATTACCAGTCGGCTGACTCTGAACCTTTCTACAAACTAAATTACATTCAAGTAGCACTTGATTCATTATTTATTAAACTTTGATGAAGGATTCCATTTTCTTCTCTCTAAACTTTTGATTTGTATGTTCGATTTGTATCACATTTTTGTGTTCACGGATTACTTGAAGAATCATTACAAATTGGACGTTGTCGAAAATTGCCGTTTGGTGATCATTGTCACACCCAGACTTAATCCCAACACAGTCTTAGACCAAAATTGTTTCCATCTTCGGAAGCAGACGGCAATTGAATCAATACTAGGGGATAAATAATTCAGAATCTTACCAATCAGTTTTGGACGGGTAAAATGTGGAACTTGTTTCCAAGTTGAAGTTAATTACAGACTAGAAAACTAGCAAGATTCTAAATCAATTAGATACTTGATATT